GGCACATTGAGAATATAGCTGCTGAACAAAACTCCGCACTGGCCACAGGAATGGCATCCGGCGCTAGCGCCATTCAGTTGGCCAGACTCCACCCCAATGCAAGAGATTGTGGGGTAGTTAAAAGATGATGATGATGATGATGATGATGATGATGATGATGATGATGAAAGATGACAGGGAAAGGATAAAGAAGAAGCCCAGATCATTTCAAGAATCCTTTTTTGACTGAATTTGGGGCGCAATTGGTTAAACTCGCCCGGCGAAGGGACCACATAGCTCAAGGGGAAACCTCCTTGGAGAAATGCACTAAAGGGTGAAGTGGGACTTAGAGAAGGCAATAATTTTTAACAGGAGCGTTTACGTATCTTTAAGAGGACTATGCAACGAAAGGGGAATTCAAGGGGCTCAAAAGGCAGGAGTCCAATTGGCCACCTGTTCCTGAAAAGGTGCCAGGGAAACCGCAGAAGAGGAACAGTTGTCATCAGGTAGTTCATTCAACGTTAACAAGCCAGCTGAGAGTTGTAGTTAGCATTTTAAAAAAAGAAAGAAAGAATTATTCCCCTGGCAAGGATACCAAAAACCTGTAATAGAAGTGTCGGAAACAGGGAAAAAAATGCAACTTGCAACGAGCTTAAAGCAATTGCAACTTGCAAAAAGACTTCGGGACTTAACGTGGCTGTTCAGACAACAGCCTGCAAGGAAATACAACAAATATTTGATTGGCCACTTTGCAGCGAAGTAGACCTGTCGCTTAAGAGGAGGTGGTACTTCACATTCTCAAAACTTTGAGAACTTTTCTGCAAAGTTTGGTTCTTGCAAAGCTGTTAGGGCTCTCTTCCCACACACACACACACACACACACACACACACAATTTGTCCTGACTACACTAACCCTGAATGGGGGGGAAGGAGCTGGTTGCACACCTGTTAGTAGAGAACCAGGGCCATTTAAGCGAGCTCCTTTCGAAGGTTGCACCTTGATTCTTCGCTTTTAAAATGCAGCCAGCCGTCGATTTGTAAGAAAGATTTAGCCAGCTGCAAAGCGAGGTATAAATCAATTTCCCATTCTGGTGGATTTTTTTTTTTTTGCAAGAACGGCGAGTTCAAATGGGGACTTTCGGTCTGGGGCGTCCCCCTTGTGCTTCGTTTCCATGAGTGACGAATAAAGGATGAATTAATCCGAGAATAATGAATCAGTGGGACAGCTTGCCACCAGAGGTTGTGGGTGCTCCATCAGTGGAGGTTTTGAAGAAGAGACTGGACAGTCACATGTCTGAGGTGGTATACAGGGTCTCCCGCTTGAGCAGGGGGGCTGGACTAGATGACCTCCAAGGTCCCTTCCCAGCTCTATTCTAAAGGGAGGGGGGGCACCAGGGAAGCCTCGAGCAAAAGCGGAAGCAAATTTGCAACCTGAATGGACATCGGTTGAGCAACTCAACGACTCAACCGCAGCAATTCCTGGGTGGGTGGGTGGGGGTCCTTGTCAGAAGCCCAGTTCAAACTGCCCCCCCTTTTCTTTCTTCCAGCAGAGGAACCCCTAAGAAGCACAAGAGAGTTGGCACACCAGTACTGTTGCAAGATCATGCCCCCCCCCCTTTTTTGGTGCCGCTCTGGGGAGGGATTCTGTTTCTATGAACAAATAAATCTATTTAGCCAGTATTTATAACAAGACGTCGCCTGCATGGATTTCTGTTTCCCCCGTAGGAAGGATTTCTCGCCTTTCAGCCTCCGGTTGCAACGGACTGGCCTCCTCTACTGGTATGGGTAGTCCTCGACTTACAACCTTCCATTTAGTGACCGTTCAAAGTTACTGTGGCCCTGAGAAAAATGACTTAGGACTGTTTCTTCACACTTAACGACCGTGGCATCACGCGATCAAAATTCGGATGCTTAGTAACTGGTTCGTGTTTACGACGGTTGCGGGATTCAGGGGGGGGGGTCATATGATTCCCTTTGGCGACCCTCTTGACGACGAAAGTCAGTGGGGAAGCCAGATTCGCTTAACAATTGTTTTCCTGATTTACCAACTGCAGTGTTCATTTAACGACTGGTACAAGTAAGGTCGCAAAATGGGTCGAGACTCGCTTAACCCAGTGTTTCTCAACCTTGGCGACTTTAAGTCCTGTGGACTTCAACTCCCAGAATTCCCCAGCCAGCTGTGTTGGGGGATTCTGGGAATTGAAGTCCACAGGACTTAAAGTCGCCAAGGTTGAGAAACACTGGGTTAACCAATGCCTCATTTAGCAAGGGAAATGTTGGGCTCAATTGTGGTCGTAAGTCGAGGACTACCTGGAATTGTAAGCTCCGTGATTGATCGTTGATTTCCTCGTAAACACCCTAGCCGGGGCTACTGACCAATGCAGCCTGACGTAAAATGTCAAATAGTAAAAACCCAGCTGTCCATCGTATCCTCAGCACTCATCGCTTCCCATATCAAGAGGAGAAAAACAGCCAGCAGTGCCAAAAAGCCTGGAATTCGAACTCTCTTCCCTCTTCAATTCCATTCAGCAGCCAAGGGGGGGGAAAAAAGCCAATACAATCCTTGGTTGAATAAACAAGAGTCATAGAATCCAAATCACGTAGACGATTAGTACCGCTTTACAAAGCCTTAGTAAGACAATACCTGGAGTACGACATTACAAAAAAGGCATTGAGACTTTGGAAAGAGTTTAGGGAAGAGCAACTAAGACGATTAAAGGCCTGGAGACTAAACCATATGAACGGCTGCAGGATTTGGGCTTGGCTAGAGAAAAGAAGGATTATGGGGGGGACATGATAGCAGGATTCCAGTATTTGAGGGGCTGCCCCAAAGAAGAGGGAGGTCAGCTTATTCTCCAAGGCACCAGGAGGGATGACAAGAAACAAAGGATGGAAACTAATCAAGGAGAGAAGCAACCTGACACTCGTGGCACTAAGGACAATTAACCAGTGGAACTGCTTGCCACCGGAGGTTGTGCGAGCTCCATCACTGGAGGTCTTTTAAGAAGAGACTGGGCAACCACTTATCTGAGATGGTATAGGGCGGGAGTGTGTGTGTCAAACTGGATTTCTTTGAGGGCTGGATCAGCATTGAAGTTCTCTGCAGGCTGGCTGGGGTGTGTCTGTGGGAGGGGGGCTGAGGAGGGAGGGGATGATGGGACAGACGCCTTCTGCAACACCCTGCCGGCCAAAACAACCCCATGCCCCATTTTCTGCCTCGACATCTTCTGCAGCACTCTGCAAGCCGAAAACGGGCCGCAAGCAGGATATTTCCAGGCTGGCACAACGGGCCAGATCTAGCCCCTGGGCCTTGAGTTTAACACCCCTGGTATAGGGGGGTCTTCTGCTTGAGCAGGGGGTTGGATTAGAAGACCTCTAAGGTTCCTTCCAGCTCTATTCTCATTGAATAGGATTCAGACCTTGATGTTTAGGAAAATAAGAGGCAAACACACAAGTCAAGTTAAAAATAAGACTCTGTTGGAAGACCTGTTTTTAGAGAGACGTTACGTATACAAAAAGTTCTTTTTTCCCCTGAGATGAATGCAAAGAAGGGCTACAGACTGAAAAGACAAGCGATAAGACAATTCAGCATGTGGGTTTT